GACTCAAGGTTAAGATTTTTGCACAGCCCCACACTATTTTGGAACGAAATCGAAGTGTCAGAGGCAATCTACATTGTTTTCTATATCCAAGAACTGTATCCATGATAAAGAATGGGGCTGTGCGGAGATCGTACCACCTCAGAGGCAGAAGGATCTTCTTAAAACTCAGCATAAGAATTTCTAACTCATAAATCCAAATTTTTGAAAGTATTGAATAAAGGATTGCAAATTTTAGCAGTCATGTGACGTATACATCTAGCTGATCAAAAGATTTTTACCTTTACACTAAAGAAGACAAAGAAAATTTGTTTACCTTGTAAATGTACCTATGCAAGATTCTTAATTTGTACACGAGGAAAATGATCCCGAAAAGACCGACTGAAATTGCACTGAAAAGCCCCACGAGAATAGGGTTCGACTCCGCCATGTTCAATTTTTCCGTAGGAGTTACACTGGAACTAATGGAGTATCTCGCTGACTGATAGTAACGCATCTCACTAGCGTCCAGTCCAGTCCAAAAATAGTCAACATGGCGGCCTCAAAACTTGATGATGAGGTTGATCGTTTTTTCACCGCATATTCGTCGAGGTCTTTAGGATTTATTAGAAATTTGTAACGGCACCAGTTTGAAATGTCCTGGGTTTTTGTGACGTCTAAAGTCAATGGCCAAAAAGCAAGGCAAGTGCCGCAGGTTTTTGTAGTAGTTGTATGAACTTACTGTTACCCGTCACCTTAGCCTCCAAACCCTAACCCTTACTTACTTACTTGCTTACTTAAGAGCGACAAGCATCTGACTTCTCCATACAAAAATACTGCTGAATCATTCATTAAGATCATGAGAATAAAGGAAATGATTTCCAACCCTGGTCAGTGCCAAAGAAAAAGTACAGAGAAGAGTACAGAGATTCTAGGAGAATATGGATACTGATCAGTTAGGATGTAAGGATTAACTGAAAGACGTAATGATGGATCAAAGTTTGATTCTGATTTTTCAGATTATTTTATGTTCTTAAACTCGCATTCTTTGTTGACTTAAACATTTTGGCATTATGTCATTCCTAACCTTTTTTTTTCAGCTTGTAAATTCACTGTTTTGAGAAAGTATTACAGGTATTCTTATTAGAAAAAGGTAGAATTTTCAGAGCACTCTTAAATCGTTATTTCTTTTGTCGAGATAATTTTTTTCAATTGAATTTAAGTTGAGAACTCTTTCATCTTAAAATTTAAGTCACCTTATCTTCATAGATTTAGGAGAAAAAAATTGAAATGCAAGCATTATGGATGATATATCATGATATTGGTCAGATGAATTGCAGACTAGAGGTAACTTATCGTGATTTTCTTAACAAAAAGTCATTTCTTTTCTCTCAGGAAGTATTTTGAAGACAGAGGACTGTATGATAAAGAGCGGAAAGTGACAAAGTCTTCCACAAATGAAGTAATGATTCCTTTACAACAAGAGCCAGCTGAAAAACTCAATGAACAGTCAGGAAAAAGTGATACATCATGGCTTGTTCCATTTGAGGGGAGGGTTGAATGCATAGATGCTGATAAATTGATTGTAAGACTGGGTAGATTGTCTCCTCAAGAGAAGTTGAAGATTGCTTTAGACAATTTATTATACATGAATGGTAGAACATTTGATGGGTTGTTACCAGATGATATACCATCACATTGGGAGCAGCATGGAGACCTTATTCTATTGCCAGAGAACAGTTTCACTTCAGAAAAATGGAGAGACTTTGATGGTGAATTATGGAGAACTGTTGCAAAAAGTCTTGGTGTCACAAGACTTGCCAAGAAATCAGCTATATGTAGGGATGGTTTCAGAACCCCCAAAGTCACTATGCTTCTGGGTGAGAATGGATGGGTGACTCACACTGATAATGGCATTAAATACACCTTTGATGTCACAAAGTGCATGTTCTCTTCAGGAAATATTACAGAAAAGATCCGAGTTGGAAATTTTGACTGTTCTGGTCAAACTGTTGTTGATCTTTATGCTGGAATTGGTTATTTTGTCCTGCCCTATCTTGTTCATGCTAAAGCAGCCATGGTTCATGCTTGTGAGTGGAATGAAAATGCTGTAGAGGCTTTGAGAAGAAACTTGAAATTGAATGGTGTTGATAAACAATGTGTCATTCATGAGGGAGATAATCTGAAGGTAAACAATAGCTTTTAAATTGGTTTTGTAGTATGAATCCCTTGACTCTGATGGCAACATCTGTTCGTGTTGTTGAAATTTTGGTTACTGTCAGAAAATTGAAGAGAATCTTGGATGTTTTTCCTTGACCTATTTGAAATATATATTTGCAGACCTGTGAAGGAAAGAATTGTGAGTGTAAACCATCCTGAACACCACATCTCCCTTGAATAATAAATAGTGACCCAAGATTTGATAACATGCATAGAACTTTAAAGTGATTTCCTTGTGTGATTTGATTTATAGTTTCCTCTTCGAGGAGTAGCAGACCATGTCAACTTGGGCCTTATCCCCTCTAGTGAGGCTGGATGGCTGGTGGCTTGTGCTGCACTTCGTCTTGATAGAGGAGGGTGGTTACATGTTCATGGAAATGTCACATCAAGTATAAAAGACCAGAAAGGAATAGTAAATAGCAAATTGTCAGAGTCATTAGCTGGAGAAACCTGTCTGTCTGTAAGTCAAACCAAGAAAGCCAACATGACAAGCCCACAGAGTACTTTTGATGACAATTGTGGTTTTAATGGAGTAGAACAACCTCCATCATTCTGGAAACAAAACCACATACCCTCCTGCAACAAGAAAGTAAAGCAAGAGTGGCTAGATTGGGCAAAATATGTTGCTCAGACTATACTGCCTCATTTAAGGAAATCACATGGTAAACAAGAATGGAATGTTCAAGTGAGGCACATTGAACATGTCAAGTCCTATGCTCCTCACATAGATCATGTAGTGTTGGATGTGGAATGTTGTCCATCATGTGATTAGTAATCCTGGTGTTCTTAACCCTGGTTGTACATAAATCAAGTGCTTCTTTGGTTGGATCTTAACCAGAAAATTACTTTCAGGGCAAAAAAACAGAAATTTAAAGTAATATAATGTATACACATCCAAGTTAACGATTAATTAAAATAATTATTTAACTATTATCATATTTAGTTTTCTGCATACTTTCACTTTCCTTGAAACACATTAAGATTGATGTGATTGAAATGAATGGTAATTTTGGAGCCAATATTGTGAATCAAAGGGAACAGAACAAAGGAGATAATAAGACACCCATACATTGATGTCATTGTTTTGTATGAAAATGTATTATTTTTTAAAATGGTAAATACAGACAAGCGTAGTATCCAGGAACAGAACAAGAATTGTAACATCCTGCTACAGACCATCATTATTAGAGACTTTTTTTAATTCCGAGAATGGAGTCACAGAACCTCTATTTGACCTTAACAAGCTTAGTTCTTAACAGTTACAGTTAGGCATAGCTACCTAAAGGTGATTTGTGAAAGAAATGTCTTGAATAACCCTAGAGCTGAACATCAAATAAAGTTATGTCTTAAGATGTTTTAATTGCAAGAAATTGATAGAAAAATATTTACCAAATAGAAGCGAATGTTCTAAAAAGGAACTTAAACCTTGTTGAAAAGTACATTTCATCCTAAAAACGACTCACAACCTTAAAAAATGAATGAATAAAGAAAGAAAGAAAGAAAGAAAGAAAGAAAGAAAGAAAGAAAAAAAATGAAGAAACTCCATAAATAGAGAAAATAGGCCTCCTTCAACACTTCTCTAAATCCATCCATGATCTAAAAAATTTTGGTGAAGGCAAAAAAAATGTATGAATGACGACGACATTTCCGCAATAATGACCTTGCGTGTGCTGAGACCAGCCCATTACCCACCCATCCCCTGCCCACATCACAGTAAAAGCTTGGTTACTCAGCCATTAGTTTGCGAAATTTATCTGCTGAACTTTACTCTCGCAAATTGTAAAAATGGCTGGTCTTGCGCGTCCAGTGTACATCGTAGCGGCTAAGAGAACCGCGTTTGGCACATTTGGAGGAAAACTAAAGGGTATAACGGCTACTGTGTTGGGACAACATGCCGCTGTTGCCGCGATGGAAGCAGGAAAAGTTGATCCAGCGATTGTGGACTCATCCGTGTTTGGTAACGTTATCCAGGTAACATATTTGAACTTGGTAGCAGATATTTTATTTTTAAAAAAAGTACAATTAAACCACGCATCAGAAAGTAATTTTGGAGATTAAAAGTTGTAGTAGAAGTGATCCGATAGATTAAGTTTATTTATCTTTTCAGTTGTCTACTCTTATGACCTTTTATTACATGTCATGATGGACTTTGTACTCTATCTATACAAGGACACTTGCGACGTGTAATTCCTGATAATAATTTCACTTTATTAAATTTATGTCAAGATTCAGAAATGACTATGAGCTGATGAATGCAATAATATCCCTTGAATTATTTTCGTAAGAACAGATAGACTGCGATCGGCTGTTAGTTTGTCGGCAGTTTTCCTATCGCGTGACAGGTCTGTTAAGTCCCCTAGTTGTAGTTGAAGCGAGTGAAGAGGAGTTACGCCACGAATCGATTCTGTTCAGATCTCTTTAAAATTAACTAAATATAATTATTTTTAATGAACACTTCTTACTACATATACACAACATGCAGTCTGACAACCATTGCTCAAAACGTTACTGAAATAAGATTTATTACAGTTTATTACTATAAAATAATTATTTTGGCATGTACCAGTGCTTAGAAAAAAATAGATTCAGATATTTTGAGTTTCTCTCTGGGTTAATGCTGATATTGCATTTGTCAAGTCAACTTCTCGCGCTATCATATATTGATTGAATGCTCTCAACCAACCAGATAGTAGTAAGTCATAGCAAGTCTAATCTCAGGTCAACAGCCCACAATGGTTAACCTTTTAATGCCCATTCACAGAGTGCATCAGATGCAGCCTATATCTCAAGACATATTGCCCTGAAGGCCAATGTCCCTGTTACGACTCCAGCTTTGACTTTGAACAGACTCTGTGGTTCAGGTTTCCAGGCAGTTGTCACAGCAGCACAGGAGATTCAGCTGGGTGAAGGTGACATTGTTTTGTGTGGAGGTTCAGAGAACATGAGTCAAGCACCATATGCCCTTAGAGATGCTAGATTTGGAACAAAATTAGGACTTGACTTAAAGGTGAGCTTTCCTCTCGATACTTTTTTCATCATTCAAATCTTCAAAGCTGAATGGTGTCCTCGTCAAAAATGCGTATTCAGATGGTAGTGTTCATCTGTTCATTTCCAACTTTGCAAGTTTGTACTGTTTTTTTTTTTAATGTGATTACCATACTAAAACTAATTTTCCAGGTAGTACAAGTAATTGAAGTTAAAAAATAATTTCATTAAAGCCTAATTTATTCTTTCATTGCATTCTCTAGCTTGAGGATACTTTGTGGCAAGGTTTGACTGATTTTCATGCTAAAATGCCGATGGGTGTCACTGGAGAAAATCTTGCAGAAAAATACAATATCACAAGGCAAGACTGTGACGAGTTTGCTCTGCTATCTCAAAAAAGATGGGCTGAAGGTAAATATAACTATGAGGCTGAAACTCATCAACAAGCTGTGCCGAGCTCTCAGTCATGGCCTGGACAGGAATATGCAAAGTGTTGGAGAGCAAACTTATTAGAGGGTATCTCAGATTTTCTTTTTCCCAGCTTGGGTTCCTTTTCCACTCACAATTTTTGACAAGCTGATAGCTTGGAATCAGTCATTAAGAGCTTCCAGATACAAATACCCTTGAACTCCCAAGATCCAACTGTTCATTCTCTCCTTCAGCTGCTACACATTTCCTTGTAAATAAGTTACAAGAATTTGTTGTTAGATCAAGATAACAACTTCTACCCAATAAGTCTGAGTATTTTCACACCCCATTTGCTGGATATTGTATGAATATTATGGGGAGAAGTTACATGTTAACCACTTCTGGGTGTTAAAGGGTGAGAAGCAAAGTCACTGCTTTTCTTTACTTGATTTTGTAGTTGTATTGTAATTTTTCTGTTTGGTTAATATTCATAATTTTAGTTTCGGTCATTTTCAGCTCATGCAGATGGCCGATTTGTTGAAGAAATTGTTCCTGTGACTGTGAAAGGCAGGAAGGGACCAGAGGAATTTAAGGTTGATGAACATCCTAAGCCAGACAGTACTATAGAGCAGCTGGCAAAGTTAGCACCAGTGTTTAAAAAAGATGGAACAATTACTGCTGCCAATGCTTCTGTGAGTCACTTTCACTGTACTTTTGTGTTTGTATGTATATAGAAACTGTTTACAAGCAGTTGTTGATAGGATAAATTTTCATCTGTTTGTGTTGTTAGGGCATATGTGATGGGGCTGCAGCACTCATTTTAGTCAGTGAGAAAGCCCTGAAGGAACATAACTTCACTCCTCTCGCAAGAATTGCTTCATATTCTGTGGCTGGTGTAGAGCCATCAATCATGGGAATAGGTCCTGTCCCAGCAATTAAAGCAGCTCTAAATAAAGCTGGAAAGAGTCTGCAAGACATGGCACTGGTTGAGGTATGTAACACATTCATACAGAAAATTAACACTAATTTTTAAGATACAGAAAAAGTATAGATAACTCTGATTAAGGCTTAAAAAAACCCGAAATCTTTTCTTAGCTACAAAGATTGTTTGATTGCTTGTTGGGATCTTAAACCCTTACACCTCTTAGAGTGATAAATATTTAATTTCTCCATCCAATATCATGTCCGGATTAAACACTCAAGTCATGCAAATTAAGAAAATGATCACAACGTTAAGAAACTCTTAATTGTTAGACATATTCTCTTTGTCAGTATTATAGGAAACATCAGCTTTAAAAACTCTTTTTGGTGGCTTATTTATATAATAAAACCAAATGAATTCTCTTGCATAATCCACAACCCACTTGAACAAGTTGAAAACAATATTATGAACTTAAACACAATCTCTTCCAATCTTATCTTCACAGGTGAATGAAGCATTTGCTCCTCAGTTTCTTGCAGTTCAAAGGGAACTTGAACTGGACATGAACAAGACAAATGTGAATGGTGGAGCAATTGCTTTAGGGCACCCAGTAGGCACCTCAGGAGCAAGAATCACAGGGCACTTAGTGCATGAGCTGCGTCGAATTGGTGCTAGGTATGCTGTTGGTTCTGCATGTATAGGAGGTGGTCAGGGTATAGCTGTTGTTCTTGAAAATGTTCAATGAGTTGAATCTTTGCAGTTGAACTGGAAAAGAGAATTTCAGCAACATTTTTGTGGAATTCTTATGAAGAAAAATATTTTTGCTTGGAAAGAGTGTATGAATGTGAAGGTTACCAAAGACCTTTGTACGAGTTAAGCTTAAAAACACTATGGCAAGTTGTTTGTCTATTAGTTTCAAAAGTGCTGGTGAGACATTTGGCTTGCTTGCAGGCTTTTTCAGGTAGTATCTAATTTATTGCTTGGACAAAACACCTCAACACTCATCCCAGTTTTGAGGCTTGTATCCAGAATCATTTCTTTAGCATATATTAAAATAGATTTTAACATAAACCTGCCTTAATTTCACTCACAAACTGTGGTTATTCAATTTTACCTTTGTTGACTTTGAGCTGTTGATGAAAAAAATCAGTGAAAACTGTAAAAAGAAGGTCTTAATTTAAGGTTATTTTAATTACTGTTTATGACTCTTCACAGAATAAAGAAGACAAGCTTTGTTTTTACCACTTTCAAATGAAAATAAAAGGAATCAAAGTCAGTTTCCATATACAAACATTCTGTTTATTTGTAAATGAAGTGTTCTAGCATCTAGACATTTTCCTCTCCCCCCCCCCCTCCTATAAAGTTCTTATCCAATTGAATTGATAGCCTTGCTCTTTACACTTTTTGTGGGTGAACATTGCAATTCTCCCATGGACTTCCATCCCACTTAAGTTCCAAATCCCAGCATGCAATTTTAACCATTGCCTTAGTACTTCAGTGAGACCAAACCTCAATGCCCAATGTACAATGGCAATCATGGTTTGAGCCTACACAAAAAGATTCTCTCTGGAAGGGCAGAAGTCTTGAAGTGACAACAAAGTTTGATATATACAAATACTATTTGATGCTGACACCAAAACCACAAGTTATTCTTTGACTCTTTTAACCCTTTAACTCCCAGACCAAATTTGTAATTCTCCTAACTGTCAACCACACAATTCTTATGATGTTAGTTCAGAGAATTGAGCATTGGATCAACTAGTTATCCCCAAATTGATATTGTTCTTTATTTTCATCACTTATCTGGTTGATATTGTATTGATATGGTTAGGGGAAATTCTGTCTTGGTCACTCATGGGAATTAAAGGGTTAACAATTCTAGCATGGAGGACTGTTTAAGTAAGAAAAGCCTCCCTTTTCTCATAGGAGTTATTACTACAAATAACTGGTATTTAAGGAAAAAATGAACATGTTCTAGATAATTTAACAAGCAGCCTTGATGGCATCTATACAAAGTACTGT